AATGTCTAATAATGTCTAATTATGTCTGATAATGTCTAATAATGTCTGATAATGTCTGATAATGTCTGATAATGTCTAATGTCTAATAATGTCTAATGTTTAATAATGTCTGATAATGTCTAATGTCTAATAATGTCTAATAATGTCTGATAATGTCTAATGTCTAATAATGTCTAATTATGTCTGATAATGTCTAATAATGTCTAATTATGTCTGATAATGTCTAATGTCTAATAATGTCTGATAATGTCTAATAATGTCTAATAATGTCTAATAATGTCTGATAATGTCTAATGTCTAATAATGTCTAATAATGTCTGATAATGTCTAATGTCTAATAATGTCTAATAATGTCTGATAATGTCTAATGTCTGATAATGTCTAATGTCTGATAATGTCTAATAATGTCTGATAACAGTCTAATAAGTTGTGGCTGCTGCCGTTCACTGATGCCTCTCAGCCATCGTATATTTGTGAACCACTAAACAGAAGAAACAGTTTCTATTCTTTCTGTTTATCAAGGCCGTCCTATAATGTGCAGGTTCAGAGTGGATGAAGAACACATGCAGATGTGTTAGCTCAGGAATAAGCCGAGGAGTGACTCAAACAGATCGAGAGGACTTCAGAAAGACTTCCAGTAATAAACTTCCCCATTAGAGCGATGCTGTGCAGAAATTTCCAGCGTGCTCGGCTCAGCGCTAAGTGCCGGCAGCAGGTTATTTTTTCATCCCGCTGTATGAAAAAGGTGTAATTCACTTGTTCTGAGTGTTTCCTGTAAAGCGGAGAGCTGTCAGGTTACAACCTGCTGCTCAAATGAAGCACAAAGAATTCATTCACATTCACACAGAAAGCAGCTACAAAATGATCCCCCTTCAGGCTGACAAGTACCCCTGTGGTTCACACACACACACACACCTATACACATACACACACACACACACACACACACACACACACACACACACACACACACACACACTCACACTCACACACACACACACACACACACACACACACCTATACACCCACACTCACACACACACCTATACACATACACTCACACACACACACACACACACACACACACACACACACACAAAAAACACACACACACACACACACACACACACACACACTCACAAGGTAACCTCCCCTCTCAGTGCAGCATTAAAAGGCAGCTGTCATTAAGGCCCACTGTGGTGTGTAACAGTGTGTGTGTGTGTGTGTGTGTGTGTGTGTGTGTGTGTGTGAGCTGCCATTAGGCGCCCACCGTGGCGCGGCTCGGTCCACTCTGGCCCACGGCATGCTGGGAAAATCTTCGGCTTCCCTGCCGGTCTGAGCCCAGAGCCAGAGAGCTAAATGACAGGGTTGACTCCTCCTGGACGCCCCGCACCGCGAATCCAGCGCTCCCTCCACCTCCACTGCTACCCTGCAATTAACACACTGCTGAGACGAGAGGAGAGCGGAGGGGAGGACAGGTTTGGTTTTCAGAGTCCTTTTATTGAACCACTGCCAGGAGACACCAGATCAGAAACCGTCAGATTTATGATCAGTTCTCAGTGAACCAGGGTCTCTGGAGCTCTGGATCCAGGTCTGCTCTGTACCTGGCTCTCGGACCAGATACCAGCCTCCACTGGGGGGGGCTGCTGACCCCAATGAGCAGCTCGTACAGGGACCACCAGCTGGTGTCTGAGTACCAGCACTTGTTGAGGGGTTAGTGGTTCCTGAGTGTTTGCACATTGTCACTGCTGCTGGACTTCAGACAGTAATCATCAGTATGAAATTATCCACAGAAGAATCAATACCGGCCCTCCGACCACAGGAAGTATTCCTCAATCCTAATCCACTGAGGACAACTGGACACACATGTCTTCACCATCCTAGGAGAAAAAAACTCTACTGAATGATGCACATCAGAGGGGATTTATACCCAGTGCAGACAGAAGAATACACAGGTGTCATCTGTATACCTGTGTGTACCTGAACTACATCCCCCCGTACCCTCCACTGAGGTCACCAGGGTCTGGTCCTCAGTACTTTTTCTAACGGATTGCCTTGAAATGACTACTTTGATGCTTTGATGTCCCCACACTCCCTCTATCAGGTTCAGTGTTCAGTGTTTCTAAAACCCTGCGTACATTATCGACTCTGTGTGAACACGGCTAGCTTAACGCTAAGAAAACAGCAACAATGTCTTTGTTGAAAAGGATGAAAGAATCAGGGTTATATTGTGTTTAGGATTGTGCTGAATTAGAGTCCTGGTGCAGACTCTGGTTTGGATACTGGACCAAAAGCTCTAAGACTCCTTCATCCCTTGCAGGTTCAGAGGTCTAACACAGATTTCGTCCGTCCTACCTCAGGCTGGTTGGACCTTATGAAACTGTCCTCACTCCCAGGCGGTGGCTGACTGATGGAGGCGGGGTTTCTGTTCTCTCTCAGGGCGTCCACAGATATTCTCCTCTCCTTCATCAGGTGACCCGGTTTGGTGCAGCCGGATGTGCAGGGTCTTTATGAGGTTGGTTCCTCAAACAACCCACAACATACCTGGAACCGGTCTCTGGAACGGATGTCTGCCTTAATGACGAGACGGCGGCGTGAACTGGTTGTTTCAGCCAGCTGATGGCGTTGTTGCGGCTGGTTTCAACAGCCAATCAGATCGCTGCAAAGTCAGCTGGTCAAATCAGTGGTGGAGTGTACGGTATATGTACCCGGTGTGTACCCGGTGTGTACCCGGTGTGTACCTGGAGGGTCAGTGTTCATGCACTTCCTGTCCTCTCGGCTCTAATTGATAATTGGTAAATTATCCAGTCAGTCAGCAGCAGTTGTCCACCAATTATCTGCTAATTGACCTGAGAGCCAGAGTGAGGCGAATACATCCACCCCCACTACACTGCCACAGAGTGTGTGTGTGTGTGTGTGTGTGTGTGTGTGTGTGTGTGTGATCTGTGGGTATAATGTGTGTGTGTATGTAATGTGTTTGTGTGTGTGTGTGTGTGTGTGTGTGTGTGTGTGTGTGTGTGTAATGTGTGTAATGTGTGTGTGTGTGTGTGTAGTGTGTGTGTGCGTGTCTCAGTAGGGGTTGCTAATGGAGCAGGTAGGCTGTGAATACATTACTGTGTCATTTATAAAGAGGCCGTTTAAATGACCGAACCCCACAGAGCAAAATTACTGCTCTCTGTCTGTCTGTCTGTCTGTCTGTCTGTCTCTCTCTCTCTCTCTCTCTCTCTCTCTCTCTCTGTTACCATATTTAGTTCATTCCTGTATTTACATCCAGTGCAACCACAGACAGAGAATCAACAGAAATAAAGATGCAGTGAGCTGCTGGAGGCAGAGCAGCATCGTCTCACACAGCCGGTAAACTGACTTTAAATCTCAGGGATCCCTATGATAAAAAATATCGGATTTGCTATAAAGTACAGAAACATTTCTGCTTAAATAATAATAATAATAAAACATCAGTACCACGAACCATATAAAGTTCTATATGTGCTCTCAGTTAAAGGCACAAACAGCCTCCAGTTTTCAATCTGTGTGCACTGGAAAATAAATACATGGTTCCAGAAATACAATAAAATAACAGAAAATAACTGATTGTCTATAATTAAAATAATGTTTTTAGCTTTCATTTTATATAAAATCTTGTGGATTTTTTTCCCGGCTCTCAAATTTTTACTGAAAGATATTGACACATGTAAAGTTAATATAAATACACTGATATAATACAAATAATCAGGCTTACATTTACAGACAGGAACCATTATTTTATTGTGTAATTTTACGTAAGAATCGTATTTATTTAATCAGTATTTATTGTCATAAAATTATATATAATGTATATAATAATGACACCCATAGAAAACATTTGATTTACCTTTTAAAAAAGTGAAAATACTGTTACTGCAAAACTATTGATCAGCTTTATAATTACAACAATATACTGATAATATTGATCATATTGAGTTTAATATGAGTTTTTACATATTGTATTGCTGTATATTTAATGGATCTAAATAAAGTACCACCTATTAAAATACTGTATTTATCTTTAAAAATAAATATAATTCTGATTATAATGATCATATGACCCCTCACACATTTTATATATATAAAATATTGTAATATAATTATAATAATAATAATAATAATAATATAGACTGAGGGGTCCTGCTCAGACTGCAGACACGTATTCATGATGTCTGATGTCCTTCTGATTGATTCATTTAGACTTTATTCATCCAGGAAAACCCACTGAGATCTCTGAGAAGGAGCTCTGCACACAGAGCTTATTATTCGTGCCTGAACTACTGCAGTGCAGAGGTCACATGCCTCAGTACATCCTCAGCGGCTGTACGGTCGGAGGTCACACATTGCTCTGACTCTCGCCTCACGTCATTGGTTGCAAGTTCAGTTCAGGGTAAATTTTAGGATTCTTTTAATGACTTTTAAGGTCCAACGTGGTCTAAACCTCGTTCTAAACCTCGTTCAGACTGAGGAAGACTGAAGAAGACTGAGGGCTTCAGGGCCTTCAGACTCTGAAATTTGTTTCAGTTTAACAATATTTTCATCAATATAAAATACGGTTGTTGTTGTTGTTTGTTTTGTTGTTTGGTTAAATGTTCTGAAGACAAATGACTGAAAACTGTTCTCAGAGTAAAACCTCACGCTGTATTTTTCATGCTGTAACTCACCTGGAGGCTGTGTGTGTGTGTGTGTGTGTGTGTGTGTGTGTGTGTGTGTGTGTGTGTGTGTGTGTGTGTGTGTGTGTGTGTGTGTGGGATTGACAGCTGACAGCTCTAAGCCAATCACAGCTCTCAGTGAGCTTGCAGTCAGAGCTGAACGCTGAGGCCGAAAACATCACCTGACACCCTGCAGTGTGTGTGTGTGTGTGTGTGTGTGTGTGTGTGTGTGTGTGTGTGTGTGTCAGTGTGAAATTCAGTGTTTAAAGCAGCAGGTGAACAGAAACAAATAATGAAACTGAAACATTTAACAATAAACAGTCAGAGAGTGTGTGTGTGTGTCCAACTCTTCCTCACAGGTTAGTTAATGACAGACAGTCAGTGAGTGTGTCTGTGTCCAACTCTTCCTCACAGGTTAGTTAATGACAGACAGTCAGTGAGTGTGTGTGTGTCCAACTCTTCCTCACAGGTTAGTTAATGACAGACAGTCAGTGAGAGTGTGTGTGTCCAACTCTTCCTCACAGGTTAGTTAATGACAGACAGTCAGTGAGTGTGTCTGTGTCCAACTCTTCCTCACAGGTTAGTTAATGACAGACAGTCAGTGAGTGTGTCTGTGTCCAACTCTTCCTCACAGGTTAGTTAATGACAGACAGTCAGTGAGTGTGTGTGTGTCCAACTCTTCCTCACAGGTTAGTTAATGACAGACAGTCAGTGAGTGTGTCTGTGTCCAACTCTTCCTCACAGGTTAGTTAATGACAGACAGTCAGTGAGTGTGTCTGTGTCCAACTCTTCCTCACAGGTTAGTTAATGATGTTACTGAGTCAGTGTGAGCAGATTGTGTCTGTAGACTGAAGAGAATCAGAGTCTCACTGATGGTGGAAATAAAGGTTTTACTTCCTTAAAACAGCCGTTTTTTGAATGGAGTTTGGTGTGACAGTGTGGAGCAGAGGGGATTTGAACCTTAATAATTCCCATAAACTGAGCTGACCTACCTTCTAATAATGAACCTTGGAAACAGCAGAGAGTAACAGGAAGTGGAGATAAACCGTCCTGTTTTCTTCTTCTGTGGTAGTTAAAGGTAGATTAATGAACACAAACATTAGTTTACAGTCACATTGGACACAAACAGTTTATACTGTCGCTGTGTCTGTCAGGACATTGATCAATAACTATTTGATGCTGATTATTGATCTGTAGGATGTATGCTCCTAACAGCTAAAAATAAACAATATTCATATTTTATGCTATTAAATTTACATTTACCGCCAATTAAATTAGAGGAACGGCGTTCACCCAGAAGGGGGCGGAGCTTAATGCAAGGCCAGAGTACCCGGACGGGCTGCTCTCTGTACACTGAATTCTTTCACATTAAGAAAAGATTGTCGACCTTTAGAACAAAACTATAAAAATCCTCTGAATACATGAAAGTGTGTCTGATTATAGAATACGACCTGAATTATTACAAACACTCACTCATTCAGTCAGACACTCATTATTCCTCCTCCCTGGAGGAGGAAGGATAAATAAAATGATGTCTGAAAAGACGTGTTTTCATGTTTTGATGCTGCAGCAACAAAAAAAATCTGTAAAAAAAAAAAGATTTATCCATTAAAACAGACAAAACATGTTTGTGGTGAACGAGCCAGAGACAATGGCGGCGAGGGAGTGTGTTGGCGGCGCCCATTGTTGGATTCAGCTGGAAGAGAGGACGGAAGACGAGAACAGATGCAGAAGAGTCTGTTTGTGTTCAGGGTCTCTTCATCAACAGAATCACAAAAGAAATTACGTTTTCATCAGCTGCAGCTCGACAAAAGACACAAAGCATGAAGCTGCGAGCTCAGGTGTGTGTGTGTGAGTGTGTGTGTGTGTGAGTGTGTGTGTGTGTGTGTGAGTGTGTGTGTGAGTGTGAGTGTGTGTGAGTGTGTGTGTGAGTGTGTGTGTGAGTGTGTGTGTGTGTGTGTGTGAGTGTGCAGACACAAACAACAGGAGGAGGAACAAATGAAGCCTATTTAACTTCTAAAAAGCTTCTTTAAATGAACTTCCTCCTGCCCTCAGACTGTGGAGCTAAGGCTGATGTTGACCTCTGAACCCACAGAGGGTCACTGCTGGTGTTTAGATATCTGATCGGGTCTGATCGGGTCTGATTGGGTCTGACCTCGAGAAGAAATAGTCCCTGTGTTTCTCAGAGAGCAGCACATTAGACAATAGAACGGGACGTCCTTTGTCTGTCCAACAGCGTGGGAGAAGCAGTGATTGTTAAGGTGGAACTGCTTTATTCAGTGTGTTTAAGGTGGAACTGCTTTATTCAGTGTGTTTAAGGTGGAACTGCTTTATTCAGTGTGTTTAGTGGTTTTAATCAGCGGGTCTGTTTGTGTTGGAGAGGAGGAGACCTCTGTGGATCATTGGGCTCCCGGTAGAAACCTCCTGAACCATGAACACTGAAGGAATCCTAACCGGGAGAAGCTGACTGCAATGACGCCAATGGTGGTGAAGACAACAACTCCCATGATCCCACGCTGCTTCACCACCATATAACTTTATCTTGTTGTTAATGTTTGAATGTGAGAGAGCCCCTAGTGGCAGAAAGTACACACTGTAGCTTTAAATCTACAATATTTTATTGTCTCACAGATAATTCAAATCATAATTTTTATTTCATGTCATTTCCAGAAAAATATTGTTTTATATTCAGACCAGTTCAAACACACACTCACACACACACACACACACACACACACACACACACACACACACACACACACACACACACACACACACACACACACACACAGTAACTGGTGTGTAATTGACTCACAGGTTGTTTTCACACTGTGACACCAACACAATACACACTCATTAGTGAACACTAACACACACTCCTCCCATCTGAGGACACAGCTGTGTGAGTCCTTACAAACAGATGGACACGTTTGTGACCCTCAACACACACGCATACACAACACACACACACACACACACACACACACACACACACACACACACACACACAAAGAGCAGCTGGCATTCAGTACCTGCTGTAGAGATGTTAGACACCTCCTGACAGACAGACAGACAGACAGACAGACAGACAGACAGACAGACAGACAGACAGACAGACAGACAGAGACTCTCAAACTGCTGCCGACCTATAATGAACATTTACTGAACACACAGTCATTTATTGATTGCTAGCAAGCTCCAAACACACCAAATACTGTGTTTCTGTGACGATATCACGATCAATAAAGATTACAGCATTTAGAAACTGACCCCCCCCAAAAAAAAAAAACAGGGACAACAATGTAAAGAATATTGTACATTATTATACAGTATTATACATTATTATACATTATTGTACATTATTATATATATCTCTATATACTGTATATATCTCATATGTTTCTATTCCATTTTTATTTAATGAACATTTTCCATTTCCATTGTGTCGTATCTGCAGCTGCTGCAGTGAGTGAAAGAACCCAGTGTGAGATCAATAAAGTCTTATCTCTAAAATACTCACTCTAATAACAGCTTATGAGTATAATAATTATAATAATTATAATAATTATGAGTAATAAAGAAAAGAAAAAAGGAATAAAAAGATGATGCAGCTCTGATCTGATCTGTGATTGCTGTTCGTCTCTAAAACCTCTGACAGTGTGAACTTCTTCTTCTGAAGAGAGTCCAACTCTTCCAGCTGAGGAAAATAAGCTAATAAAAGCAATAACAGTATTCATTATTATACATTATTCATTATTATTAATTATTATATATTATTATACATTGTTATACATTATTGTACATTATTATACATTGTTATATATTATTGTACATTATTATACACTATTATACATTATTGTACATTATTGTACATTATTATACATTATTATTAATTATTATATATTATTATATATTGTTATACATTATTGTACATTATTATACATTATTATAGATTATTGTACATTATTGTACATTATTATAGATTATTGTACAATATTATAGATTATTGTACATTATTATAGATTATTGTACAATATTGTACATTATTATAGATTATTATTAATTATTATATATTATTATATATTGTTATACATTATTGTACATTATTATACATTATTATACATTATTGTACATTATTGTACATTATTATAGATTATTGTACAATATTATAGATTATTGTACATTATTATAGATTATTGTACAATATTGTACATTATTATTAATTATTATATATTATTATATATTGTTATACATTATTGTACATTATTATACATTATTATACATTATTGTACATTATTGTACATTATTATAGATTATTGTACAATATTATAGATTATTGTACATTATTATAGATTATTGTACAATATTGTACATTATTATAGATTATTGTAGAGTGGGCTGTGGTTCCGTGTCTGCGCTGTTGCTGAAGGACTGGAAGACATTTTCAGTCTGCAGAGTGAAAGCAGAAATAAACGAGTTTGTAAATGAAACACGAGACTGAAAGTGAAAATCAGATCAGTGAGGAGGACGAGGAGGACGAGGAGGATGATTTCAGGGCGTTCTGGTAGATCTGCACCTCGACTACCAAATCCTGCAATCCACTGTCAGTTAAAGGAAAGCTCAAACACTGTTGTTCAACTCTGCAGCCTCCACACATAAAGAATATAAAGAATATAAAGAAAATAAAGAAAATAAAGAAAATACAGAAAATAAAGAAAATAAAGAAAATAAAGAAAATAAAGAATATACAGAAAATAAAGAAAATAAAGAAAATAAAGCATATACAGAAAATAAAGAAAATAAAGAAAATAAAGAATATACAGAAAATAAAGAATATACAGAAAATAAAGAATATAAAGAAAATAAAGAATATAAAGTATATAAAGAAAATAAAGGAAATAAAGAAAATAAAGAAAATAAAGAATATACAGAAAATAAAGAATATACAGAAAATAAAGAATATAAAGAAAATAAAGAATATAAAGTATATACAGAAAATAAAGAAAATACAGAAAATAAAGAATATAAAGTATATAAAGAAAATAAAGGAAATAAAGAAAATAAAGAATATACAGAAAATAAAGAATATAAAGAAAATAAAGAATATAAAGAATATAAAGAGTATAAATATAAAAAAAAAAAAAAAATACAAAAATAAAGAAAATAAAGATATAAAGGAAATAAAGAAAATAAAGAATATACAGAAAATAAAGAATATAAAGAAAATAAAGAATATAAAGTATATAAAGAAAATAAAGGAAATAAAGAAAATAAAGAAAATAAAGGATATAAAGAAAATAAAGAAAATAAAGTATATAAAGAAAATAAAGAATATACAGAAAATAAAGAATATAAAAACATAAAGAATATAAAGAAAATAAAGGAAATAAAGAAAATAAAGGAAATAAAGAATATAAAAAATAAAGAATACAAAGAAAATAAAGAAAATAAAGAATATAAAGAAAATAAAGAATATAAAGAAAATAAAGAATATAAAGAAAATAAAGAAAATAAAGAATATAAAGAAAATAAAGAATATTCCTCTGTGTCCGACCCTATCGTAGGAACTGTAAATAATGTTATGAGCAGTTGGCTGTAGACCTCAGATAATGTCTGTCAGGAACTGAATTATTGAACCTCTGACTCACCCTGAGAGAACTGAAAACATTATTATTGTGATTATTATTGTTGTTGTTATTGTTGTTATTTACAGACAGGAGAAGGTCAGAGAACAGCTCGTCCATTAGCACGCAGATGACAGCTGACATGAGGCTGTTAAAGAGAGAAATGATCCGGACCTGCTGAGTGGACACACAGACACACACACACACACACACACACACACACACAAAAGACACACACACACACACACACACACACACACACACACACACAGATTCAGACCT